CGGAATTCAGTCAATTCTTCACTTGATTTGAATATATATAAACGATTTACAACATTATATGTGTAACATTAGTAACATTGTTTCATCAAGAAACATGCAAATATAACCAAGAATGGTGTAGAAGATTTGTAGCTCAGATGGATGATTTTGATGGAGTTTTGTTCTCCAAGCTGGATCTTTTGATCGTGGAGCTTTTATTGTTCCTCTGAACGACATTATCAGCATACACTTCAGGTAGAAGTGATCCAATCAACATTGAGGTGTACAGGACAAACTGTGAGCCATATGTGGAGAAATTCGAACACTTCACTTCTACCTGAAGTTGTCGTTCAGATAAACAATGAAAGCTCCACGACAAAACCATCCAGCTCAGAGAACAAAACTTCATCAAAACAACCAAGACTATTCTGAAATGATGAAAATAGATTTCTAGATTAAGTAAATAATTTTGATTGTATTGTATTCTCTAAGCTAAATAGTGTTATATCCGGATGAAGAATAAGTGAATAGTAACTGCTTAGATCTATTTATGGACTGTTATTATTCATATATTCTTGTTGGATAACTATTATGTGAATAAATTATATGTATATTCATACTCCTTTTATTATAGGCTTTCATTTGACTTATTGACTACTATTATACCATTTACTATTATTAAGTTATTCCCAATTTATGAGTTACAGTCTCTCACAATCACAGACACTTTTGGCCTAATCCTGTATAAATGTTATTTTTCATTTTATGATGTGAAGTGGTCTGGTCTGTTTGTATATAAACTGTGTGTGTTTGAAATACAAGATTTATACAGTGGAAGCTGATATTTGTGTTCTTAACCGAACCGGTTGGATTAGTCGAGAAGCTACCATCTTGTTGGACCAATAAGGATTTAGATTTGACGGTAGGCTGTTCGTACTGGTTAACACGTCATCGGTTTGACACAGAGATAAGTCGATGTTCTAATTGGTGATCTTGCCACGTGCTAATTAATAAGTCATAAGTACATAACAAATAGATTTGTACAACAATTGTACTGTAGTGAACGAGAACATAAGTTGTGGCCATCTAATACATTTTAATACAAAATTACAGAATGTATTAATAAAATTTGAGAACCATACATTAAATACTTCATTTACAAAATGTTAATCAATCGTCTCACACTCTATTGTTCCTACATTTCCACACCAATTACTTTCTGTTACTGTTCATTCCTTTTCGATCTACTAAACCTTCTACTACCAGACATTCTATCCCCGACTAGCGTTATATGCTACTTGTGTTGATATAAGTAGCAAACATCGCAGTATCATTCAACTCGACAAATTCAACACAATCAAAAGGAAAGTAATTTTGGTGATCAAACAAATACAAAGTTCGAAATAAATAATTAACAATTTGACTGAATTAGAGTTAAGTGAAATCTTAGGATCTTTTGATTCAAAGCCATTGAATATATATAATCCTACATATTAATTTCAAAGATAAAGGTATATTTCTAGAATAGAAATTTGGCTAACGTCTAGTAGAGAAATAGATGATGTAAGTTTTGAAAAATATCAACTAGGTTTACCTCTATCCTATTATGGATTATTACAATAAGACTTGGAACCAGTATGATTGAACTCAATATTATCAGTAGATAATGAGTTCGAATTATATCGCGGAAGATACTGGATCCAAGTTTCAGTTCAGAAATTTTATCACTGAGATGAAAGGATCTCTAGCTGACGAGTTGTAAATTAGTATATTAGACCTTTTCATCACTTCTTTTTTCATGTCTCATCCCCAATTGATCTAAAGTCATGTTTTTGAACATGCACTATTATTATTATTAGAAAGGGTTTGATCAGTTTTGCAATTGATATTCCTGATTGAATTTAGATCAGTCTTTGTTAGCCTACTTGTATCGTGAACAGATTGTCTCAATTGAACCATTCTGTAACACATTTATATTATATAAAAAAGTACTGTGGCTGATAGGGGAATCTGCGGTATGTTTTGTGCTATTTAGTACAGGTTAGTTGATGTTTACATTAAGGCTCAAGTTCAGTAGCTTTATTTCAAATATTATCCACTACGCTACATTATATCAACACTACGATACAATTATATTCAGTTAACAAGTTTAAAGAAGAAATCCATATCAGTCTTAGATTCCACTACTAGCTGTAATCCTTCTTTTCTATGTAAAATACCATATTTCCTCGAAATCAATTACTTAATAATTTAAAGTCAAAATACACTAAAGCTTAGTGAATTTGTAGTCGAATGCTCTACCACCCCCTCGATAGGAATCCTCAAGGTCAAAGGAAAAGAGGATGACCAAAGAACACATTACGCCAAGAAATGTAAACAGAAATGAAAAGAATGAACAACAATTGAAAAGAACTAAAAAAGAATGCCTAAGACAGAGTGGGTTGCAGAATGCTAGTCGGCAGCCTATGCTCCATGAGGAGTAAACAAGTGCAAGTTTATTTTTCAATCGAGTTTACTTTTATTTTCTGTAGTTCAATCTATAGAGTATACTGATCAACATATACATGATATTTATCAAATATTAATGTATTATAGACAAAATCTATATCATCTTCCTACATGGATACTCTTTATGAACATGCAATTTATGAGTGAACAGCAACAACAACAACAGCAACAAGATGATATTTTTGTTCATTCATTCATTCAATCAATCAATCATTCGTGACAAAAATTTTTTTCTCCATAACAACTAAACAAAATTTTATTATTAAATTAATTCAGATTTGGTTTTACCAAAAAATAAGATTCTTCTAACGTTTCGTGACTCAGTTTAAGCCACTTCTTCAAAAAAAATAATAAAAGTGGATTATACTGAGTCATGAAACATCGGAAAATCTTATTTTTCTACTCATTGAAATATTGCAAGTTTCAATAGTTGAGACCATGAGTCGATTGAAGCCAGATCATCAAGGAAAACATGGAGGCACTAAACGGCCGTTTCGTCCTAGTATGGGACTCTTCAGCAGTGAGCGTCCATGATCCCACCTCCCACGAGATTCGAACCCAGGAGCGTCTAACCATTAGACCACTGAGCCGGCGTCCGACGGTGTTAATGTCTAACTTCAACCAATCCACGAAGTTGCGCCACCGTACACCATTGTCTTCAGTGAGTTGATATGTCACAACAGACCTGGTTGAACTTCACTGCTACAGGCTTCTCACTAGAACTTCAGGAACTGACTCTTGAAGTCAGTCATTAGTGAGCAGATGATTTACAAGTTTATCATTTTTATTTATATCAATCTACTCTAATGCTCAGTTCATCCGAAATTATCAAGTCAAACCTTGGTAATGATACCTACATTTCAACCATTAAAATAAATGAGTTTCATGTCAACTTCAAAAAAGTTTAAAAAGTTGTAAGATGATCGTTGTGGTATGTACATACGTCATATACTATTCCATTTCATTTATTTCTAGTCAGTATACAATGTATTTCACTAGAATCAAAACAGCACTTAAATGCCTTGATATAAACGAGGGTGGGAAGAGTCACCCCTCCCTCTCGATATGCACTCACATAGCCATGCGTATATAGCCACTGACAAAGAAGTCCTACTCACTGCCTTCTCGTGGTGGTGGTGGTGTTGTTCACGAAATCGAAAGGACAAAAAGTGAATGTTCAGTGCTTCAACTGAATGGATATTGAGTGCTTTTGATTGTTGCATTGTTCCTTTGTACTATTTAAACTTAAATCAATTTTGATTTAGTTATTTATTTACTCATTCATTGAAGAAGTTGGCTATACTAAGTTACGAAACGTCAGAAAATCTAATTTTTCTACTCATTTGGAATATACTACCCCAATGCTTAATTAATATGAAAATACACCAAATAAGATTACAGGGAAAATTATTTTACAAATAATCTATATAAAATGTAATAATGTTAATGATCTATTTTTGACAGGATAACATTAGTTAGTTAGAGACTTATAAGTTACTTCATAATAGTAATTAATGGATGTTTAGTGCTTTAATAAAGAGTTCAGTAATGCGATTTATTGTTAATCCATGAATACTAATTATTGTTATAACAATTATATTTCTTCACAACTTTATATTGGATGTTTGGCAGTTCGGCACCGAAAACAATGGAAGATGATTGTGTAATATCGTGGATTAGTTGAAGTTAAATATGAATACCGTTGGATTTTAGCTCAGTGGTTTATAGGTCAAGTGTTCAGATGGGTTTGAATCTCGAGTTCAGGATCATGGATGTTCATTGTTGAGGAGTCTCATACTAGGACGAAATGGTCGTCCAGTACTCCTAGGTTTTCAACATTAGTCGATTCATGATCTCAGTGATGAAACTTAACAATCACCACAACCCAATATTGATAATTAATGATAGAATTAATTACAAACTACAATGAGTTAGATATTACATGATCTGTTAACACTGGCAAATTCTATTTCATCATAAAATTACACTGTAATCTAATTCAAAATCATAAATTTTCAAACTACTAAAATTGGGAAAAAATATGATGAAATATAATTCTTCAATGGGAAACATTTAATTCGTATAATCCAGGACGCGCTTATTGTCCTATTCGGGACTCGTCAGTTGGGTGACATTAAGAGACTGATCCTAAGCATCAATGTGAACATTCAAAAAAACCAATACAAAAATGAAGTAAAACTTTACTACATCACACAAGCTATTGGCTAACTGAATTCAATAGTTAAATGGATAATGCAATAGTGTGTTGAATCAAGTCGCACTGCATTGGAATCCCAAAATGAACATCAACTTTTGGATGTAAGTACATCCAGCTGATGAGTCTCAAATAGGACAAAACATACATTCTGGATTCCACTATTAACCACAATCCATTCATTTTAATAATAATCAAATTAAACTTCAATATTTCTATAATCATCTAAACTATATGATACATATGAAATACAAGCATTAAAGCTCTATATATTATGAAGATATTTATGAAGACTTACCATCTTTTATGAATAACAATGTAATCGTTAATATGTATAACTGACTTAAATGTAAATGTGAAATATCTTTAGTTGAATGCAGTTAAACAAGTAAATAAGTAAATGTATTCTATGATAACTGTTGACACTTATAAAACTCTTATAAATAACCGGTAAATTCACTTAACCAATCAAATGATTATTTCATGGTGATAATGGGAATTAAATTAAATTTTTTTTAAAAATTCTCTGATTGGTGGAGAATTTATGATTAATCCAAGAATAATTAAGCACATCACAATGTTTTCTAATAGTTGAGATCATGAATCATTTGAAACTAGACCATCATAGAAAACTTGGGAACACTGGACGATCGTTTCGTCCTATTGTGAGATTCCTCAGTCGCATTTCAATGTTGTTGGGTTTTTTTTGTGACAGCGTTTATGAAGTCAAGCTACTGAAATTCACTGATAACTATATTTTGCTCATTTATTAACTTAAAATTTACTGAATTCGATTAATATTCACGTAAACATGAATACTGATTCCTCAATGTGTATAGTTAGTTCATTAGTAAAAACTGTAAAATATGAAAGTTGGGTCTAGGAATCACTAGAGTACAATTTGGTGGACGATGGATTGGTTAAAGTTGGACATTAACACTGACCAGCTCATTGGTCTAAAGGTTAAGCGTTCTCGCATAGGACCGACAGGTCCTGGGTTAGAATCTCAAGGGAAGGGATCGTGGATGCGCACTAATGAGAAGTCCCGCAATAGGACGAAACGGCTGTCCAGTGACTCCACGTTTTCCATGGTGATCTAGCTTCAATTGACTTATGATCTCGACTATAAAAAAATTACTACAATATTCACAAAACCCTCACTGATACAGATCACAATTATTACAAAAAAATTAGAACAACATAATTTAATAAACTGTTTAAACACAACTAAAAAAGATTCCATAAATGATACCCTTTACTCCTCAGATGAATATAGTTGTATCCTAGAGTAGATATTCACGCTAATACTAAGAAGCTTCCACTGTAAATGTAAACTAATGGGTTCAATTAAACCACTAACAGATATAAACTTTATTCCATGTTTTAATGATTTTCCAGCTTTACTAAAAGCTTGTCATGGTAAGCCTATTTGATCAGGATCTATATATGTTAATATAGATTGACCACTTAGGGTTTTTAACATTACCAATGTAAAAATGAAGATCATTACAAATAAATGCAGTCAAATAATGCTGATGAAAGTAGACATTTCCCAAATTTCATTTGAATTTAATAGTTTAATTGTGTTCAGTGATTATCACTTGTCTCAGCTACTTTATACATTAAATCAATTAGTGTAGTACTATTGTCGTGTGGGCTACTTATATCCACGTAAGTAGTATATGACGATGGACAGGCATAGAATGTATTTCAGTCGAAGTTCGAATAGGAAAGAACGAGAACGGAAAGCAATGGGCATGAAAATGCACGAACAATGAAATATGAGACGATGGACTGAGATTTGACAAGGGAACAGTCAAGTTTGAGACAATTGATTGATATATTGAAAATTAAGTATTTACTGTATGGTCCTCAGATTTTAGTGAGAAATTCTGGAATTTCATGTCCTAACATAGTTGATTGTCCCTACTCGTGTTCTTGTTCACTACACTATTATCTAGTAAATTCGTGAATAATTCGGTGGTCATCCATTTATTTGGCTCGGGATCTGACTTCAGGTGGATTGTACGAATGATCGTTATTAAATTATATACATTCTGATTATTTTCGTTTATAATTATCAATCTGGATTGCATTAGTGAATTACGGAATTAAATAATTCAAATACGAGAATGGATGTTTTGAATACGTACATTTTGTACACATTGATCTGGGGAGACGATCAGAGGGACGAAGCAAAGAGAAGCGAAGAAGAGGGAACGAAGTGAAACAAAAAGACACGCAGTGGAGAAGGCGTATGACCCAACTCGACTTAACGGAGAGTTAATCAATATTTATAGTTACACAAAAATAAGCTACAGACATGTGATGAGTAGGATAAGAAGTGCACACACACACACGTGTTCATATAAAAACACTCAGGGTTGATAAGTGAATAATAAACAAGGTTAAACTGTGAATCAAGAAAAATGGATAAATTGGCCTGTTCAGAAGCTAAATTAAGTTATATAGGCTTAACATAATAACCGACACTACAAGCCGTTTAACTTCTGATTTACTTATGTACTCACAATTGACTGATCACTGGGTGGTGATCAATGTCATGCTTTTCTAGTCCTTATTAGTGCAGATCGAATGCTTTCGATCATGTTGCAATGTGGCCACCAGTCTAGGTGACTCGACACTGCGGGCACTATGTATTGAAATTTAGATGGTACTTATGTACTGTTAATACATTGATAAACTTGTAAAAACTAAATCTGAAAACTCATTTTCATAAATATCGTGACTTAGTTATATTTACATAGAGAAATATTGTTCATCTATACATAAAATTTTCTACCTGTTTAACAATAACAGGCATTTCATTCTTACCTATTTAAGCCTATTACCACTCGTAGAATTGTAGCTTAGTTTCGTTAATCAACCACCCTGATAACCATTAGCATATAAATCCTCAAAGATGTTTGAAATCACAAGGTAATAAGAAATGATGACTACAGTTTATTAGCCGATAGCACAAATAACAAAGTTACAAGCACATCCAGTGAATTTGGAGCATAGAGGTGAAAATGTGTTAGCAAGCGAATACAGAGGCAAATTTATAGTCAAATCAAATCAAGGCGAAGTTAGACAAGGCAAAGTCAATTAATAGGATTCGAGCACATATATACAAGGAAAATAGGATAACTCGTCGATTGATATTTAAGATATTAACATTTTAGCTAGAGAGAGATATATATGCGTAGGCTGTCATGTGATCAGGTGTACACGTTTATACAGGCATGCAAGTGATCATAATTATATAAGGAAATAGATAAATTGTTACAATCCGAATAATACTATCTGTTAAATAAGTCAATAAAAGGGGTCGACAAAAAGTAACCATAAACGAAATACATCGTAGGAGTGTTGCTAAACTCGCATCAAGTGAACACGTAATGAATTTTTTTCTATGTCATAATCTGATTTCCGTTTTGTAATATTCCCTCTTATTTTTCAAAGAATATGTGAAATTTATTTGAATAATACTAACTAACTTTTTTCCCTTATTTTACTAATAATTTTGTAGACAGCTTATTCGAAACACTTATTTATGTCTGATAAGCAAACGTGGAAAGTAGATAGCAGTGGAATCCAGGATGCGCCTTTCGTCCTTTTTAGGACTCGTCAGTTGGATATACATGCATCTCTGCTTATAATGCTTTTGAATTAAGGCAATATTGAGGCAATACGCACAGTATGCATATACGCCAATAGGAGACTAATCAATTGAAGTCTTAAACACCAATGGGAAGATTCAAGTAAACGATACCAAGTGATCCTATTCATATCTTTTTTTTAAAAAAAAGTATTTCACTGAATTAAATTAGTTGTGTGGTATGTGCTACTTATATCATTCGATATAAGTAGCATGTAACATCAATTGAAAGTGAAATGCCTGGTGGCAGAAGGTTGAGAATATCGAATAGGAGAGAAGAAATAAAGAGAAATTGATGCAAAAAATGAAGGAACAACAAAGTCTGAGACAATTGATAGACATTTTACAAATGAAGCGTTGAACGTATGGTAGTTATATTTTATGAAATAACTCTGTAACTTTGTATCCAGATAATATCGGTTGTCCCCATTTGTTTACTTCTTCACTACAGTTGAGATATTTTGCATTAAAACAATTGTATTCTAATTCATCATTCATCTTAGTGTATTTTGAACGTGATAAAAAACAGTGATTGTTTTAAATTTTTTTCTTAACAGAACCTACAAATTCTAACTTGTTCATATCTCAAACTTGTAGTGACTTTGCTTCATTAATCAATCACCTCGATAACCGTTATAACATAAATCTCAACGGTGTTTGAAATCAGAAATCAATAAGAAGTGGTGACTACAGTTTATAAGCGGATAGCGCGTGATCTGCGCTATAAGAATATCAAGAGAATTTGAAACAGAGAGGCGAATATGTATTTTCGAGCAAATGCGGAGGCAAATTTATAGTCAAATCGTACAAGGGTACAGCAAGGCAAAGCAAGGAATAATAATAGGATTTGAGTACATATATATATACGGGAGAGAGAATGAATCATCAACTGATATTTAAGCGATCAACATTTTAGCTCGAGTCTGTCATGTAATCTAGTGATCATAACAGTACAAAGAAGTAGACGAATTGTTAACATTTTTTGTTATGTAAGTTAATAAAAGTGCTTAACCAAACCCAACCATAATCAAAATTAGTTGCAGGATAGTTGCTATAAACTGATTAAAGAATCACTTATCGTGGATTAGTTGAAGTTAGACATTAACACTGATGAATGATGGCCGGCTCCGTGGTCTAGTGGTTAAGCATTCGCGTGCGAGACTGACGGGTCCTGGATTCGAATCTCACGGGTCGGGATCATGGATACGCACTGCTGAGGAGTCCTACGGTGGGACGAAACTGCTTTCCAGTGCCTCCAGATTTTCCATGTTGATCTAGCTTCTTTGAGAAAAAACTAATTAACCCACTCTGTCCTGCTTATTCCCTTCTAGTTCTATCCAATTGTTGTTCATTTTTCTCATGTCTGTTTCCATTTCTTGACGTAATGTCTTCTTTGATCTTCCTCTTTTCCTTTAGTCTTGAGGATTCCATGTGAGGGCTTGCCTTGTGACACACTTCCGTGCTATCCTCAATGTGTATCCTATCCACTTACAGAACGTCTTCCTGATTTCTTCCTCCACTTGGATCTGGTTTGTTCTCTCACACAGTAGATTGTTGGTGATAGTGTCTGGCCAACGGATCTGAAGTATTTTGCTTAGATAACTGTTAATAAACACTTGTCTCTTCTGGATGATTACGTT